TAAGGGCGGGGAGGTGCGGTCGGACCTCGCCGTCCGGGGGAGGACTGCGCAGGGCTCGGGGACGTCCGGCTGCCTGTGCCCTCCTGCCTTTGCAGGAAAAGCTGCCAGCAAACGTGATGCCTGTGCGCACCCCATGCTGTCCTGGCAAAACGTGTGTCAGCACTCTGAATTTAAAGTTGGGGCCCTGCCCAAAGATCGTTTTTGCAGTTTGCCCTTTTGAAAGTGGACGTAGTAATGAAAGATATTTATTGTAACTACCGTTATGAGTGCAGAGAACGGGGTGGGGGGAAGGGGACCTTTTAGTCATTATATGCTTCCTTTCTCTCCCAGGGAAAAAAGTTGTGTTCCCAAAGAGAAAGATCGTTGTGTGGTACGGGAGAAACAATTCTGCGTGGTGTACACAAACGTGCCGTTCATTGCTCGCACTCCTTGTCCTTCGTTGCACTTGATCTTAATTTCTTTTTATAATCCGAAATGCTTCCTAAAGACAGTTTTCTTTCCCCTGACTCAAAACTCAACGGGCACATAGCGTACTTCCAATAGCAAAGCACTTAAACCCTTCAGAAAGGAAATTTAGATGCTTATTTACTGCAGTCTAGTACTTGCATGTAGCAAGGTGCGGAAGGAAAGAGGCATGCGATCTCAAAGAGAGGCGTAAAGTGAATTAGCGTTCCTTGAGAGCGTCCTTGAGTGTTTATAAATAATTAATAAAATGAAAGAGAAAACATGCTTGTTTTGGTCCTTGTAATCTCCATATCCTATCACTATGACAATAACTAAGTGGCACAGAGGGCCTGGTTTTGCAGCTCACATAATTAATTGCATTCCAAATGTATCTGACGCTTTTCTAGAACAGACAATTTTTATCTGATTATTTACAGTCTATTTTTAACTCTTTGAATCAGCCGAACTCTGAAAAAATGAATGAGTCCCTGGGTGAACAAGTGACGAAGTAGCGGACCTAAGAACTGAAAAAGAACTGGAGAGCAGGCTCTCACTTTTACAAATATTTCCCTACCGAAACAATCATGCAACAGTCCTACATGAAGTAAAGTCTATATAGTTTGTAGCAGAACATGTGCAAATTATGCTTCCAGTGGTGTCAGTCTTTGAGAGCGAGAGCGTCTTCTGAGGTTACGCTATTGTTCATCTAATGTCTGTCGATGACTCTTGACTAATTATGGCAACTGTTATCCTTTGATGCAGCAAAACTGCTTTTAAATGTCTACTAATGATACTACAATTACAATGAACTTGGTAATGTTCTTTAAGGTGTTATTGCACATCTGCAAAGTTTTGTGTATGTCTTTAGAAGAAAATGCAATTATTTGTGCCAGGCCGAGTGCTGAAGTGCAGGTTAGAACAGAGACCAAGTAGGACACATCTGTGAAACTCGTGTACTGTATTTTCATCTTAGGAATTGTTAGATTTCGTCCCTCATTCCTTTCTCCCCCAGTTCATTTTGTGCTGAATGTGTTTAAGCAAACAACAGTGTTCCTTAGCAGAATGTCAGCAGTGCATTAGCAAAAAATGAAAATAGGCTCACTGAAATTCCTAAGCAATTGAAGTCGTTGGCAAAAATAAGCTAGTCGAATGAATAAACTGCTGTTCTCAGAACAAAAACGCAGGCTCAAAGAGAAAGCTACAAAGTGTGATATTAAAAATCAGAAGCATGGCTTTTTGAACGTTCAGGAAATTAAAGGACTCCACCGTCAGTAGCTTGCCCATCAGGTCTGATCGATATTCTGATTAAACCTCTATGTCCTCCCCCCAAAAAGCACGATATCCCTCCTGTAATTAGTGTCCAGCTTTTAGTGAAAGAAGCCAAAACTTTATATACTCTCCTTTAAGGCTTAAGATCACTACAGATAATGCGCTCACGTTTGCCAATACACTGTGCTAAAGTGAAATTAGGCAGAAAATAGCTGTTGGAGTGAATTGTCTTGTCATTGGCCCTTCCCGTCTTTAATACGTTTTCAGAAACCCTTGATGTCGGCAGTGGCAACAGAAGGAAAGCTAGATTCTCCCCTCTCCCAGGAAGGATGCGCTTTCCCGCAAATTAACTGCCCCCTTTCTTTGGTAATGTGTCTTGGAAAGAAGTCCATATGATTAACGTTAGCTGGCTGGCTGGACATAGCCTTAAGCTAAAACGTGTGTGGCTTGTTAAACACTCTTTGAACACCCGAAAACTACAGCAATTCTCCTGCGGAGGGGAGGTTTTATTCGTTTAGGCAAGCTCCTCGTTGAGGCCCCTTCCCTTTCGGGCTGGGAGGGCAAAGAAGCTTAAGTCAAAGGAGCACTTCGCAACCTGGAAAGAAAAAGAAAGAAAGAAGGAAAGAAAAGGAAAGAAAGAAGGAGAGAAAAAGAAAGAAAGAAGGAAAGAAAAAGGAAAGAAAGAAGGAAAAGAGAGAGAGAAAGGAAGAAAGGGGGAGAGAAAGAGCGAGGGAAAGAAAGGAAGACA